CTGCCACCTCCCGGCGCCGCGGCACGGCACGGCACGGCCGGGAGCAGCCGGGAGACCGGGGCTCCAGGGTCTGTCAGGGCCCGGTCTGATCCCCGTGTCCCCACATCCCTCCATCCCTGCCCTTCTTCATCCCGGCATCCCCTTGCCCCTGCATCCCCACATCCCTCCATCCCTTCGCCCCTACGTTCCTGCATCCCTGCCCTTCCTGCATCCCTGCCCTTCTTCATCCCTTCCCCCCTGCATCCCTATGTCCCCACATCCCTCTATTCCTGCGTCCTCTCCTGGGGGTCACAGATGGCCCTGCCCTGCCCTCAGCACCTAGGAAGGGCAGAGAGGGATTTCGGTGCAGGATTTTGAGAGGCCTGGATCCCAGAGAGGCCAAGCAGAGCAATTCCCACCTTGCAGACTGGGATGAACCCCCCGCAGAGCCCTGACATCCTGCACACACTGGGGCTGGGGGGGGAACTGAGCTCTGGGTGTGCCCTGGCCCAGGCTGTGGCAACACCTGACCCCCGCCAGCAAGTTTTTCTCAGCAACTTGCCCCCCAGCTGCTCAGCCCCCGCTGTCCCCTGCCCCAGGGACGCAGCATCCCTGGCCTGGCACTGTTCGGCCACCCACGCACAGCCACAGCCCACACCAACCCTCCCCGGCGATGGGCTTGGGGGCTGGAGAGGGACAGTCTGCCCCGGGGCAGGCAGAGGAAGGGGGTGCTGTCACTGAGCCCTGACGTGGGGAAACTGAGGCACGGGCCAATGCAACTGGCAGAGGGATGAAGCATCCTGCACCCTTACAAGCTCAGCTGGGGTCAGAATCACCCCTGCCTTTGCAGCCACCTTTGCAGCCTGTGTTCCCCCCGCAGTTCGGTTGCTGCAGGGCTCACAATGGACGCTCGGAGCCCACCGCGGGCCAGGTGACACCTTACAAGCGGCTTTGAAAATGCAATGTTAAAAAAAACCCACAAGCACGCTCGGGGAGAAGGAGGAGATGGAGATTACCTGCCAGCACACCGCTGTGCGGTCCTCGGCTCTGCACTGCGGCTCAGCACCTCCATCCCTGCCACTCTGCTAGCACAGGGCGGTGACAGCCCCCACACCCCAGCAGCAGGACTAGTAGGGGGGATGGCAGGTCCCCGTGGGGCTCAGGGCATCCCCACGGCTCCACACATCCATGGCGGTACCTGTAACACAGGGCCAACTTCAGGCCAGAAAGCATCCCGCCTGGAAAAGCACCTTCCCATCCCCACGCTGCCGGGCAGGCAGCAGCGCTGCGCAGCATTTCCAGCAATCTGGTTGGTTTTTACAGGAAAAAGTTGCTTTTGGACCCGGGGCTGAGGCTTTTGGCCACCTTCTGCCTCCCTCCACCCCTTCTTTGAAATTTTCTAGGATTTTCAGCAAAGCCTTCGGAAAGCTCCAGGTACCTCAAACATCACATTTTTCTGCTTTAAAAGGCTCAGGTTTAGTTGCAAAAAACCCCCAGATATATAAAGATATATATATGTAGATATAATGTGTATACGTGCATGGCTGGGGTGT